CCTTTTTTGTCCCGCGGTACAAGGACATGATTGGGACATCCAGGGGATGTCCTGCAGTGGTTGTCCAGTGGACATCCCGCCCGGTACATCCCTAGGTTATCCTATTCGTGTCCCTGGAGTATCTGATATCCATTCACATCAGAGTCATTGAATTTCATCAAACTATATTGAGTTGAATTTTTTTGAAAATGTTTGTTTCTCGTCCGGAAAATGATTGCAATGAAAATAAAGAATAAAGTCTCAGAACTTCTTAAGAAATTACCATTTTTCGCAGACAGAAATCGCACATGCATAATGCCCCTCATTTTTAATCACCCAAGAATGATAATAATTATACCCAATTCCTAATAAAGTTGTATTTATTCAGGTTTCTGTAGTTAAGTCCTGTTTATAAATCTGTTTAGTACATATAAATCTGTTTAGTACATAAATCTTCAGGAGGCATGATAGCCAATGGAGCAAGGTGCGTGCATAATGAGCCAAAGGTCCCGGGTTCAATCCCTACTCGACCTGCAACTTTTTTCTTTTGTCGGAAGGATGTCCCTGGGATATCCTTGGGACGTCCTAGGAATATCCTTTGATCGTACTTGGTACATCCCAGGGACGTACCAGAAGGACATCCCTTGGATGCCTTTTTTCAGCGGCCAGCGGATGTTCCTGGGACATCCCTAGTATGTACGTTGTCCCGACAAAGGACATCCCTGGGATGTCCTAGTATAAAATCAGGGACGTCCATGGGAAGTCCCTAGGATGTACTGGTGTTGTTAGGGAAAAGTGAAAGGTCGCCGACCTTTCTACGGTGTTCCAATGATGTCAAAGAGTGAGTGAGTGTGGCGTCACCAACCAGGCGAATGGCTCTTCTCTGGATGGAATCTAAGAGCATCAGCGTATGTTTTGGTGCTGAACCCCATATGTGGGAACAGTATTCTATAATTAATTTCTATAGCGAATGTCATAACATAAAATGCATCTTAATATGCAACTACCCATATCTATGAATTGAATTTTAAGGCATTCGCTGGAATCTCCAGGTTTCATACACCACGTCGTTATATTGAGCCAAAACTTGAGTAATCGGAAGAAAACTTACATAGCATCCAGACTCCATTTAATAGTTAGGATTTCATAATGACATTTGCAATAGCAACCCCAGTGAGACGACATGTCTACTTTCTTCAGTCTTCAACCTTGAGATATGTCTTTACCAAAAACTCTTGGAATTATTAGCCTAGAGGGGTGTTCCCATTTCCCAAAGATTAAGGTATTTATACCTATCCTCCACAAGTTAAAAATTCCAATAATTACCTTATCTTCCTAACATTCCTAGGTGACCACGACGTTCCACAAATATGATAGTTACTTAAAAAAACAAGGATGAATAAATGAGGACTGAGGACAAAATATTCCATATCAGCTGTAGTGTTTAGCTACCTGGAAGGAGAAAGAGAAGAAAAATAATCACTATATCGGCCTCCACCAGAAACGAGATTAGGCGGCACATGTCGACATTTTCATCAAAATTCAGTGCTTGGTTGCTTGATCTGATTTCTTTGGCAGCTTTAGATATCATAATGGAATAGAAATATTCACGACCTATACTATCATTACAATAGTCGTTGGTGCCAGTAAATGAACTAAGCATCATCCATAGAAAAAGCATAGAGCGCGCATAATAGATATTTTCTGTTAATGTCACAAACTATCTCCTCGGCTGATATATAAATTAGTACACCTATATGTGGTTATTGGTTATTTAGAGTAATGGCATTTTTGTGAATGTAGATACGAAAATAAATAGTGAATTTGTATTTGTTGCTTCATTATTTTCAATGATAAACGTTGAATACATAAAATATTGTGATTTCATAGGAACATGCAGATTTAATTTTTTGTTAACGTATACAGAGTTTATCACGTATCCCGTTCTATTCGACGATTCAAATTATGAAATCAAGAAAATCACATAAGTTAATTCTCAAAGTCGATGTGGAATATCGCCAAGGACGTAGTATTTCTGCTTATAATAAAAGTGGTCATTCTTGACGTCCTTATTTTCAATGGAACAGCCTGCATTTCATTGAATATTTCAAATTATAATGTACAACCGTAAGATATATGAGTATGCACAAGTATCTCTCAAATTTTCACCAGTGCTAGTACACAATATGTTGATTTATGAAGTGGGATTCAGAATCCTACCAAAGCTTATAAAGTGTGATCAAGTATATCTTATCATTTGAAGTACTCGAAAGGATTTTTTTCATCCCAAATGCCCTGTGTATCGTCATGACGATTGAATTCTGATATGAGGTTCTCCATATTTAATCTCAAAAGGTCTCCGAAGAAATTCATGGAATGTCTATATGCATAACAAAGGAACATTATAATTATATCTACACTTATGTCCATATCCACATGAACACGAAGCAAGGCTAACCCTAACAGTGTTTCTTGGAACATAAGATTTCTGAGCCAAGTTTTGAGACGTCTTGAGGCAGAAAATGAGCGTTCAGATGGAGCAACACTAGCGGGAATGGACAGTGAACAGTACTATTCATAATAGAATGTAACCACTTGGAAATATGTCTTTATCGCATGATTAATAAATGTTTCATCGAATTTAGATTTTATATATTGTACTTGGCCATGTCGAGATAAATTCGCTTTCCAAGAGGAAACTTCACTTCTAATAATACCTTCTGAATTAATACTGCAACGGCTGTTAGTAAATTCTGATTCGCCTTTGAGTCTCGCATGCGGCAATGATGTTCATCACATTTCTCAAAAATACATTGAAAAGAGATGGAGATATTTTATACCATGCGACAAATGGTAGTAGAGATTTGATAATAGGGCCCCAGGAATTTTCAGTTATTTCAGTATGAGCGGCTAACTTTGACGAAACTGTGAAGTTGTGGCTGGGATGAATCTCCTCAAGCTCTCATGGGGGAGGGCAATTGCCCCCATTGCCCCTCCTCGGATCCGCTGCTGGAAATAACTTGTCGTTTTTTCAATGAATGATATCCGAACTTAATACGGATGAATGAAACAAAATCAGAAAAAAGAAGCTTGATTTAAAACTAAGACAAAAAATTGCTCAAAATTATCCTAACATGTTGTGATCAATGGTGAAGAGTAGATATCATGAAAATAATGACACAATGAAATTGATGGTGACATTTCGAAAACTTCCCACCCTCAATATATCTTCCTTCTAGCATAGATCAATTAATCTATGCTTTCAGTAAATAATATGAAAATTCGAAAAAATAGGTCAATTTCATTCTAAAGGGGGACACTTTAGATGCGCATATGTTTAGACCTCTTGGTTTAACCCCCTAGGAGGGTTAGATGTTACCCTTAGAATCTCGAATAGAAAGGGGGGGTCAGGTGACACATCATTTTGAAGGGCGCTCGATAAGTTACGCTAGAGATATTGGATAATTGATGGGAGAGCAGCGGTAAAATTAGTAATTAAGAAATGCCAATTTTGCAAGAACCAAAAATCAAAACCAATCCCACCTATAATGGGACAACTCCCTATGGAAAGACTTACTCGGGAGGTGAGGCCCTTTGCAAATGTGGGAATAGATTATTTCGGCCCATTTCAGGTATCAGTTGGCCGAAGAAGGGAAAAGAGATGGGGCGTGTTAATCACCTGTCTTGCTGTAAGAGCTATTCACCAGGAAATCTCTCATACTTTGAATACAGATTCAACAATATTAGCCATAAATCGAATGGTGGCGAGGAGAGGAAAATCTAAGAACATTTTTTGTGACAATGGTGGAAATTTGCGGGGAGCAGCTAACAAACTTCGTGAGGCCCTGAGGACACTGCATACATCTTCATTAATCGATGCGATGATTTCTGATGGAACTAACTTCAGATTCAATTGTCCTTCAGCTTCACACATGGATGGAGTCTAGGAGAGACTCATTGGGTCAGTAAAAAGGGTTATTGAAAAAAATTTATATGGACAGTCACTAAGAGATGAAACACTTCAAACGCTATTTGCTGCGGCTGAAAATTTCGTCAATTCTTGTCCATTAACCACGTTGTCGACAGATCCAACCGATTCACAGCCACAAATTCCAAATCATTTTTAGATTGGAGACGCAAATGAAAATTGTTCTATTTGGAAAATAAACCCAGATAGTACTTGTTTGAGACGAGAATTGAGAGAAGTTCAGATGCTCACCGATTCTTTTGGAAACGTTGGACAAGAGAATATTTGCCCACACTCAACAAAAGAAATAAATGGACCATAGATCAAACTCCCAAAGAAGTGAACGATGAAGTGGTATTAGTTGATGATAACAAACTGAAACATGATTGGAAATTGGGTCTTTTGAATGAAACCTATCCAGGGCCAGATGGAAGAATCAAAGTTGTAGACGTTAAAACCTCAACAGGTTTACTTCGACGACCAGTAGTAAAAATATGCAAGTTGGAAGTTGAAGATGTTCAACATACTTCTTCACCTGGGGGGAGAAATGTTAATACTTGTTAAATAATATTGTTGTTATATTTGATCACGATAATGGGTGATGATTATGTTTTTGATATATGTCATGAAAATAAATAAGAAAGTTGTCAGATTAATATAATTTGTATTTGTATCACTGTTCATCTTGAAAGTGAGAAATATATAACAGTAGGGTATATAGATAGTGCTACGTCGTGATTTTTTAAAATACTATCGTTTTCAAAATATAAGCTTTTATCAAAATTCTCTGACAAAACTTCTTATTCATAACTGACATTTATGTAACCAACCAGACCATTTTGTTTCAATATATATACAGGGTCATTTATTATAGATAGAATAATTGTTATGAAGATACCACAGGTAGGTAGGTTACCAACTTACTACACAGGGTTCATCGTGTAATCCATTGATCAAAAGATCTCAAAATTGTCATAAACTCATATTAATCGAATTCTCAGTTGTTCAATATGTTTTATTTCAAAATTTCCAATTGTTTGAACGATTTATTTATTTAAACGATCATTTATAAGCGTACTTGAAGCATAATACATTAGGAAGGTAGCGAAACATGAGTGAAATGAGTATGAGTTATTTGAAGAAAACATTCCTATCTGTGTCCACATTCAAGTTCGTGCATCAGAAGGAATTCCCATTTCCCAACGAAATGACAACCATTTTTCGAAAATGTACAGGCCAGCACAACTGCATCGGCCAAATTTTCCAAAGGATGATTTCTCAAATCATCAAGTTTTATTCTACATGATGGGCAATAAATCATTTGGACTCTACATGCTTTGCACATCACATGCCCTTTTCTGCAATTGTAGATTTTGCCGATCATATATTTCATGCAAATAGGACACTCTAATTGTCTTCTCAGAAGTTCGCCACAATTTTCCGTAGGATACGTTCCATCCGTTTGATTGTTTGTTGCCGATTTATCATCATACAGTTTTTCGTCGGTTTCTCCATAGACCCCCTTTGGATGAAATGTCATGGTGAATTTGATCTCAGAAATATCCACCAATAGGCGTTCCATACTGAGAAGATTGATCGTCTGATAATTCATATCGACAGGAACATTTCCGTTTACTCTCGAATGAGGATGATGAGCCAGATCACAAGTATTTCTTATACAAGCGAAACAATGGTCCCTTTCAATATATCTGATGATTGTCTGATTTTCAATCAAGACATAATACTGGTCTTTATGAATGCTAGACAATTTCAAATCGTATTCGAAACATTCATCTGTATTGTTTAACGAAGTCACGTATATCACACATGGGGATATCGTTCTAATCATTATAAGAAACTTATTCTGATAAGTGCTAGATATAACAACCATAATTTGACACGAATCTGATCTCATTACTGTTGTTAATGATTCATAAAAGATATTATCTCTATGATTATTTTCCATGTGTTCCTTCAAGTTCTGCACCATGACAATTTCGTCACATTTGTGATAATGCATTGGACATTTCATAGTCTTCTTGTCGCAACTGTCTTCATGGATTTCCACTTTTTTCCACGGAATCAATTTATTGCAATCCTTGTAGATACAGGGAAATGAGAAGAACTTCGCCATATTTTCCAGTGCTAAATTTCTCACAGCTGATGGCTTAACGATATCTTTACAACTTCCACATTTCAACTGTGTTCCATCTTCCGAAAGTGATATTATTGGTGGTACCGATAAAACATTCCCACACAAGCTGCACTTCATAGCCAGCAACGCAGTTCGCATATCCACTGGTTCAGCCATGATTTTCTGAAAATTGAAAACTAGAGAAGATATAGCTCGGTAGTTAAGTAGGTTAGAAAATTGGATGATTAGTGATCAGCTCACGATGAATTTAGAAATATTTGCTATCGGGATTAGTGCAGATAAAAAATAAATCATGTTTTTCAATGTTAGTTACTATACCTATTCATAGTGGTTCATGTTTATCGAATATTTTTCATCTGAGTATTCAGATATTTTTGAGAAGTCACTAAATTGAGTTTTGCTAACTTTTGGAATGGTTAGGTATTTGATAATCATTGCTTTAGTCAATTTTTGAAATCATAGTTTATCAATCATCTTAATGATTTTTTTTTAGTATGGCTATCACCTTAGTCCAAACTCAAACTTCTTTGAAAAAAATCAGCCTCTCGATATTGTAGTCAGGGACACTTTTCGAAAAAGCTGCCTTATTGATGTTATTTGATATATGATATTGGAGAATTCGGAATATTGAGTGAATAGCCTTTTTCCCTATTTTGAGAAAAGCTGTTGCCAAAGGATTCATTCAATCACAAGTGATATATTCGATATGGCCCTATTTTTGAAGAAGGTACTCGAAAAACAAAGTTTGTGGTAGCAGGACCAGAGAACCCACTATCGCGTTCTACACAGTATCAGTCAAGTTTGTTTTTGAAAAAATATGAATACTGAAAGCATTCAGAATTACAAATGGGAAAAAGATTAATTATTGCCAAATCGAAATGACAGTCAGAAATGGGATATTCAAGATAATAACCAAGATCGCGACAAAATCCTAGAAAGTTGTATTAATGCCGATCCCTGTGCATTAGGAACGTGATCCTAACGTCTGGGATAACACTCTCAACGTGGACGAAAATATCATTGTGAATATAGATTTTACAACCGGAAGATTGAGTAAACCTCCTGCCCCTTGGCTGACACATATTATAAGAGAAATGATATCCCTCAGAGATCGTGCATTTAGAAAGTATAATAATATGTTGGATTCCGTCCAAAAAAGGGCAATTCGTCTCGTGGGTGATGCCTCGCTCATAAACTCACTCACATATCTGGGACACCGTAGAAAAGTTGGCGATCTGGCTCTTTTAAAGATATTTCCATGGACGATGCTCTTCTGAAATATCAACAATTGTTCCTCCCTTGGCAATCCCCGCGAGAATAACCCGTCGAGTTGAGGCTTCGCACTCCTTCGTGTTCACTTTGGAGATCTGCAGAAAATCTCTTTCCAAAGAATCGTTCATCCAACGAACAGTGAGGCTCTGGAATACATTTCCAAGGGAGGAGTTCCCCGAGGAATATAACCTCCAGAAATTCAAGAAGAACACCAATTCCTACCTTATTTCCCTTGGTTCTCAAGATGTTCTCTGAATATTACAGGATATCCCTTTGCGTGGGAATCAGAACATAAAAAAAAACATACTTTTCGTTCCACACTGGAATAGACATTAGGAACTGAGGAACTGCAGTACTGGTGCAACCCGAAGAGAGCAAAAACAATATCTCGATTTTGTCCTTACCAACAAAATCACAAAAAGATCAATCCAGATATTCCTAGCAACCTGAAAGATGTCAATCGGATAAACGAACATTTCAGCACAGTCTCACAGCCTGCCAGTACTGCTTCCCAAGTGGCATAATTGGATCGTTATCGCAATCTAAATAATTTACCTTTACCGGTAGTTCAATTTCATTCCTCAACTGTAACGACCCAAATATTACAAACCTATCTACTACATATCGAGAGTAACGCTATTGATTCTGATAATATCTCAATCCGAATAGTTCGATTCTCTCATACTCAATCATTTCACCTTCCTCATCAATGCTATAATTGAGAGTGCTCACTTTCTCTTTCTCTGCTGAAAAAATGGCGTTGTCATCCCTCTAGCATAGTGCAATTTACCTTCCAACTTTTCTGACCTGAGACAGTTTACCATTTTGCCTTGCCTATCGGAAGTTGCAGAATGATGTTGAAGGATCAGAAATAGCCTACTTTGCAAATCAACGAGATATTATCACATCTGTGCAATCTTGCTTCAGAGCCCAACACTGCACAACAACTGTTCTCTTATCCATAACTGATGATCTCTCAAGAGCTGCTGATGAAGGTAGTACACGGAAGCCTTCGACACTCTCGATCATGAAATTCATTGAAAAAACTTAGTTTTTTCGGTTTATTTAGGGAAGCAGCAACACTCGTGAGAAATTATCTTTTGAACAGAAAACAAAGGGTTGTAATCGATGGAATCTCCTCAGAAGGTCCACCACTCTCCAAAGGCGCCCCAACGGGCTCAATCCTTGGACCGTTACTTTTTTGTCTCTAGATGTGCGATTTTCATAAATCAATGAAAAAGAGCAGGATTCACCACTACGCAGATGATTCCCAGTTATATGTTCTTTTCCATTTGCAGGATTTTGACGCTGTCCAACTTGCAAATAATCGCGATCTCGAAGCGTTATTCGATATTTCTCCGGAACACAAGTTGGAACTCAACTCGAAAAAATCCGCAGTGATGTTATTCGCACAAAAAAAATTAGAAATGGAACTGAATATTTGTTGGACATCAAATCAACAATGATATACTACCTGTAGTCTCCTAAATGGAAAATCTAGGCATTTGGCTCGATTCTGAGCTTTGTTTTACGAAGCATGTCAACTTCCCCAGTCAAACCACCTTCAATGTACTCGCAGACAATTGTCTTCAAATCGAGATTTACTTAGCTCGAAACTCAAACTGTGTGAGTCACTTATCATCTCGAAAGTTTCCTACTGTGATAGTATTTATGGACCTGCCTTGTGGCCATCTGACTCTTTGCGCCTGCAACGCATTCAAAATGGTTGTTTACGGTCTTTCCTCGATGTCCGCGAATATGACCATACCTCATCAGCAATGAAGGAATCAGGTTGGCTCAAGCTTGAGAAACTGATAACTCTGCACCTGTTGATTATCATCCATGAAGTACTGACGACAAACACGCCCGAGTACCTTTCAAAGAAACTGATTTCAATTTCAGATATATGAATAGATTTACATCAACTCGTTACAGATCCATTCTAGTCATCCCTAAACACAAAACTGCAATCTTCACTCGCAGCTTCTCGTACATGACACAGAAACATTATTACGCATTCTACAGTGAATTTAGATTATACATAATCACTTATGCCAAGAAAAGGTTGAAGCCATAACTCTATCTCAGTTAGACGCCACAATTACTCAATACTGAACCGTAGCCGGTCATTGAGAATTGCCGACAGTCCATTTTCCTGACTAACTACTATGACTAAGTACCTCTCCCTCTCTTCTTGATTATTGGTGTTATTTCCTTGTTTACGAACGTAGAGTTTGAAGACAGCTCAGGCTGACACTCCGCCCTTTCACCAAATTGTAATATCATATGTCCACTCGAATTATTGTTTGTCAGAATATGAAAAATTATAATTATTCATCTCCCTTATAAGGAATGAGGAGGTGATTCGAATTCCTTGATGTGAGTTAATGATAACAAAATTTTCATTGGAATCGTTTACGTAGCGGCCGATATGAGAGCAAAACGAGTGGTGGTATAGTAATAAAAATATACAGGTTAACGAGCTGGATCCATCTTCTTCAGGACATCATCAAATAACGCACAGCGAACAGCATCTTATGTGACGAAATCCACTCTAATCTCAAAAGCTGAAGATTGCTGGAGATCCAAATATGACAGTTCTTGGTAACAGAAATCTATGCAACCAGAAAAATCAGCTCAACTGCTGGAAGAAACCGTTGGTGTCCTACATAAAGTTGTATAAATTATTTCTTCCTTGTTCAATGCAGTAATTAGTTTAGTTTTCAAACATTAACTTTGTGTACAAATTGATAATTGAGCTGTTTTCTTGGCTTCAGATCATTCCTTGGTACCAATGACTTTCGTCTTCTGGAACACCAAGTTTAGTGGACAACCTATAACCTACAACTGGACATTTGAACTACGTTCCTATCATAAGAGACTCCAGAGAAACATGATTGTCTATCGCTTATTGGCCATCATATAAATGACACTCCTGTGCATCTTTAATTCAGATTGTTTCAATGACAATTTCATTCTCAATAATCTGGAAATTCTCATCACCTTTATTCTAGCTCTCAAGAGATAGATAATACGTGCTATTCAGATTTTGTCGCCATATTGGCTGCAATGTTGGAAATTTCACTTCCGGTTGTAATTTTGACGGTCACAATTATATTGTCATCCACAAAAACATATACCTAGACATAAGAATATGGAAATCGGCTAATACAGATTTGGGATTTTGTCGCGATCTTGGTCGCCATACTATAAATCATATAAGAGAACCAAGAATTTCATGTAGGCTTGTTTCCTCGCTGATGAAATAATAAGTCCCGTATCAAGTCTCGTCTTGCAGCCTTGACTCTCGTCTCCCTTCTCGTACGAGAATCTCGTGAAAGTATCGAAATCTCGTCATGTATAATCCTATTGTTCCAGTTCAACAAGAGATACTTAACAGGTTAGGTTGCTATTCTTGGTACACAGTTCATGGATAGATGTTCTATGAACTGTGCTTGCTATAATGGGAGAGTCGGAAGCTTTTATTCATTATTGGAGTCGGCAGCGGCACGCTTCGGATTGACAAAGCAAAGCAAAATAATCGAATTGATGACCGTCAACCGACGATCCCGTCGAGGGCGGCTTCTATGAGCAATTGTTTGTATTATATGACGAATATTTCCTAAAACTTTTTATCAAAACAAATCGATGTAGTTGATAGAATATATGAACTGAAAAAATATTTTGATATCCTTTGGTTCATTTTGAAAATATGATGAAACCGGGATCTTTCAACAATTTTTCAATTTATATTTCAATGAGGTTTTCAAGTCCGTATGTCGGGACTCTGGTACAATATGCGAGACCTCATGCACAAGTCTCGTCTTGACCGCGAGTATTGTCTCGCCTCGAAAACGAGACTCTCGTGCAAATCATCATCTTACAATTGATTCTGAAATCGAAGTATTGATGGTTGTTTGTTCTCAATGCCTAAACAGCTTGAAACATTACCTACATAAGCAAGTTTCGCGAATTAATTCCATTCTTACGCATGATGAAATAAATTATTATTATTATATTTTCCAATGAAAAAAGATGACATCCAACCTCACTGTGCCATCGGGAAAGAATATTGATTTCAAGTTCAGGACCCTGTCTGTTTCGAAAACGAACAAAAGAACTTTCAGTCCCAAAATGAATAACCTAATTCCTTATGCATCCTTATATATGCACCCATATTCAGAAACACCCTGTAGATGTAGCTATGAAAAGTGAGTATAATGAAAATTTACCTTTTTATTGATCTATCAAACGTCGCAACACATCGTAGATTCTTGAACACAAAAACAAGTAGGTATGATTAGAATGCCTATAAAACAATGATAGATCATATAGATAAGATTAGAGTTCGATGAAAAACTAAACATTCATCCAGGGGCGTCAAATCAGTGTGTGCCAAGGGGAGGAAAGAGACCCCGAAAAAAACTTAACACGGTGAAGAATGCGTCGCAGGCAAAATTCATTTGGGGTTCAAGGTGAAATACGCTTTAATTAAAGAAAAAAATATTTTCCTCCGATTGGCAGCAAATATTAATTTTGCTGACACATATCAATCAGCAAAGTATTACTTTTCCTGCCTAGGCAGCAAAGTGGGTACTTTGCTGCCTAGGCAGCAAAATGGTTACTTTGCTGATTGATATGTATCAGCAAAATTAAAAATCCATTAATCGTTTATAATTTCCTTCATATTTCATCCGAGACTTCTCCGGCAACAAATTCAACTCTATATTTATTGCCACCTCCCTTATTAATGGAGGTGTAAGTATACTTCCAGGTTGCTATCACTGTCCATTATATAATAATTCAAATATACCGATATTTTTTCGCACAACTGTCAGAAATTTCATGAATTGTCAAACCAACAACTGCGATTTCTATCAAATTTTATTTTAATTGAACACTATACAGGAAGAATAAAGAGATTGTGGGAATTGTATTAATTCGCAAATACAATATTCTGCCATATCATTATGAACAATCGGAGAAAAAATTATATGTTCAACTCGGCAGCAAAGTAGATTGACTGCCTTAGCTGGATTCCTAGCCTCGCTACGCTCGGCTATGAATTCAGCCACGGCAGTCAATCTACTACTTTGCTGCCTAGTTAAACAAATAACTATTTCCAAACTGACGACTGCTTCATTACATGTATGGTGAAACCTTAGCCGTGGCACTACATATTTCCAAGGCATTCGATCGAGTCTGGCACCACGGACTCCTCGCCAAGCTTCCATCTTATGGCTTGCCTCCACAGCTATGTTCTCTGCTAGTTAGTTTTCTCTCAAACATGTCTCTCCATGTAGTGGTCGACTCAGTTTCATCTGACTCTCTTATCATAAATGCTGGTGTTCCACAAGGATCAATTCTAGCACCAACACTATTTCTACTCCATATCAACGATTTGTTGGAAGCAACTTCATGTCCAGTACCCTGCTCCGCGGATGATAGTATCCTTCATTCCGCCTTCTCTGCCAAGGCTCCAATACCAACCAACCAACATGAATATGGACTTGGCAAGAATTCTCGAATGAGGATCCAATAACTTGGTAGATTTCAATGCAAACAAAACACAAGCATGCCTCTTCTCTAGAAAAGCCGATCCCTATGTGCCCAACATAAGCTTGTCAGGAGTAACCGTACCTTTGAAGACATCCATTTCGATGCTTGATATGACTATCAGAAAAAACCTCTCTTGGGAAAATCACGTGAGGCCAATTTGCTAAAATTGCATCCCTAAAACTTGTTTTTCTGTTTCGAGTCAGGAGCTATTTAACTTTCAGTCAGCTGCTTATGATATACCGGGTGGCTACGGAAGTATTGCCTACGGAATATCTCAGTTATTGTATGAAGTAGGTTTGTGAAATTTGAAGCGTCGATATAATGACATAAGAGCTAGAATTTGAGCATATTGACATTTCGAAGTTAACTTCCGGTCTGACCGGAAGTAACATCAACTTTCTTATTTTATATGGAAACCCTATTTTTTTTCTTTTCGCTTTATTCAGCATTCAATTCCCTTTCTAATGACATATCATAAGTTGGTACCTAACCAGAAACTAGATCAGAAAAAAATTATTATTGAAATTCACCGAGTAGGCCGTGGAAGCAAAATGAAAGTAAAAAATTGGAAAGTTGGCTATGGAAACCATACGTCACTTGATAACAGTTGCTACTATTGTGATATTTTATTTTCATTCGTCGGCGTTATAAAAAGCCGCCAAAAAAATATTGGAAAAATTGGGAAAAAAACAATACTCTGTAGGTCCATAACTTAAATAGGAACATACAACTTCTTCTTGCCTGTACTATTCAGCATAACGATTCCTTTCTAATGATATAATAGAAAGTCATTTTTTGAAATGAAATACCAAAAAATCCAATCATTATTCTTCAAATAACAAAAAAACAGATTTATCGAAAAAAAAAATCAAATTGATAGGATTAAAGATAAAATACTTACTTTTCAATTTTTGGCTTTCATTTTGCTTCCACGGCCTACTCGGTGAATTTCATTAATAATTTTGTTCTGATCTAGTTTCTGGTTAGATACCATGCAACTTGTGATTAGAAAGGGAATTGAATGCTGAATAAAGCGAAAAGAAAAAAAATGGGGTTTCCATTCGAAATAAGAAAGTAGATGTTACTTCCGGTCAGACCGGAAGTGAACTTCGACATGTCAATATGCTCAAATTCTAGCTCTTATGTCATTATATCGACGCTCCAAATTTCACAAACCTACTTCATACAATAACTGAGATATTCCGTAGGCAATACTTCCGTAGCCACCCGGTATAAGGAACAGATTCGACCTGTCCTGGAATACTGTTTCCATATTTGGAGTGCAGCACTCAAACATACCCTGAAAAAGTTGGATTCTGTTCTGTTCGTGGTCACTTTGGGGACCTGCAGAACATCTCTTCTGAAAGACTCGTTCATCCAACTAACAGCGAGGCTCTGAAACACATTGCCAAGGAAGGTGTTCCTTGAGGCTTATAACCTTTAGAAATTTAAGTAGAACACCAATTCCTGCCTTATTTCCCTTGGTTCTCACGATGTTCTCTGAACATTACAGGATATCTTTTCGTGGGAACCAGAACATAAAAAAAAGGTCATGAGAACAGACATACACTCAAGAAATTAATACCTCAATGGGTTATTAATTTTTTTTTCAAAATTACATAATATAGAATTTTTTCAGGTTTGACGACGAGGACGGTATAAGATAATATGCGTGTGCCATCTAGCGAGGTTTCTAGCTGCTTTCGGCTTCTGGTAAATGATAGTTTCATGGTCGAGAAGTCGCACGCATGCTATGCGAGACAGCGTTCTACTGTGTATGGTGGCATTCTGTTGAATGATCGTTCCATATTGAATCACTAGATGGCGATAACAGGACCAAATTGCTCTTTATGGGTGGTTCATACTCTCGTCAGAGATTATAATCTCTGCTCTCGTCATACTTTAGATATTCCAAAACATCGTTCTGCAACCTTCCAAAGAAGTTTCAGCTATTGCGCACCAAAACAATACAATGAACTCTCGGCGGATTATCTGAAAATATTGAATATATCAATTCAAGCATAAAGTTGAAAAATATTTATTGAATATGCAGAATCATACAAATTGATTGAGTGGCGAATTTGATGCTGGTTGGAGAATGTGATTGATAACTGTATTAGTTAGGCATTGATAAAGCATCAGAAAATCTGAATTTTGCTTTGTATATATCATAAGTTTATTATACAGGGTGCTCCTTGAAGACATGCTAATATTTGATGGGGTGATTCTTTGAATCATTTCAAGAAGAAAAGTTCATATGAACGTATGTCCTAAAAGTCTTAACTTTTGAGATACAGGGTGATGAAGTTTCGAAAAATATTCAGTTTCTTGATAATAACTGAGACAATATTGTATACATGTTCATGAAATTTGATACACGTATTTTATTCATCAAGGTGCATTTTATGATGTACACTGTTTATGATTTTCTCTACCAGTGGCACCGTTACGGAAATTTTATTGTTTATATTTTACTTAAAAGTGAGCAACGACGAAAATTTTTTAAATTTCGTACAATGCTAAAGATCCTCCTGTTGATACTCGATGAACAGCTTCGTTTTAGAAAAAAAAAACGGAAAAAACGAAAAAAACGAGACCAGACTTAAAACATTTCTTTCATGGAAAACGACTGGATCCGCGACTGCAAAATTGCTCCATTCTTCCAGAATAGAATTTCACCAGGTTTTCTGTCGAGAAGTGGCTGCAAGTATTTCTATTTGAAATGATATCAATTGATTTTCAGAAAAAAATCTCATCCATTCATTCATTAAATGAAATATATTCCCAGATGAAAACCCGTCAATCTCCACAACATGTATTAGAATGATCAAAGATCAATATTGAAGGAACATGAAATAATTCGAAGATAATGACTTTCAAGGTTATTTCAAGATATAATTCAAGTACTTATAACTTTTTGCATCACTTACAGGGGGTAGATCTGCAATGAACATCAGTATAACTACATTATGGGGAATATTTGCAAGAAACAAATATGATGATTTAGGTTCACCGAAAGAAAAATCTCAGTAATAATTATCAAATATTTGTTAACGTCAAATTTGTTCATAATTAATTAGCCATATTCATAATTGAAAAGGCTTATTCATCAAAATCGTACCTATTTTTATGCTTTATTTATAAACAATAAATGATTTATTACTGTCATATTTGTTCAATGTGAACAACATTATTTAATAATTAACAATTCATCTATTACGCAGATTCATGAAGTGAAAATCAATAAGATGAATTTATAATTATAATGTGATTTGGTGATTATTAACAATGATACAGTGTCTGTTGATAAATCTATGTGTTTATTCATTATGATATACATTTGTTTATTATAAATATACGTAATATGAAGGATAACAATGGATATTTCATTTTATTCTTCGTTTGGTAATAATAATAATTCATTTGGTTATAATTAAAAAACTGTCATGCGCATGGGCCATCATTTTAGTTTAGCTTCCATCTTAGATACCGTGTGCATCTTTGTGAAATCGTTCGTGCTTTACCTGTGATTTCGACCAACGCGAAAGTTATGAAGTGTGATGGATATATTAGTTCAATTCCTTATATGACAGTGAGTGTTTGTTTACATCTGGACATGTATATTTACGTCTACAATTAGCTTCTTGGGATAATTTCATATAGGTACGACATCACATATGAAAAAAATGGCAGACGACTATCAGTGCATCCCGAGATGCATCTATTTTACAACATTTAG